CCCCACATCACCCCAGCAGCATCTGCTCCTCATCTTTACAAACCCTCAGCTCGTCCACCTGTTTCTGCCTTCTTAGCTTGAAGAACTACATCCATGAAAACATCAGTAGCCCTCATTATTGCTTGAGATGACTGCCTATTTCTTCTCTTGTCACCTCCCACATCTTTGTGTGAGAGATTTGCAGAGAATTTCAGATAAATTCCTGGGACATTTGTCTCCAGGTGGAGAAAAGGCCCATAAAGGTCACAGAGAATGGCTTCTATGTTTGTCTGTGAAGTGTTCGCTGAAGAAATTGGCTTTAGAAAATAAAATAAAAAAAAAAACCCACACACTTTTATCTGTTTAATAAAGGCAAGAAGAGCAATGGGTTTCTTTTCCAAAGATTCTATGGCAAATTATATTATATGTTGAGTAAAGAAAGAACATTTGCTAGCAAGAAACTCCAGAACAGCCATCACTTCAGGGCAAAAGCTGAACCAGGGCTCTCGATCTAAGGAGTTCTGTATTCTCTGGCCCAGTTACATTTCATATGCTTTTCTTTTAGAAGTTGGCTGTATGAATCAGATAAAAGGGGAAACACTAACTCTAATGCCATTAAAGACTTCGGGAGGTTTACTGCCATTTGGTTAATGCACTAAAGCTTAGAATTTTAATACCAAATAGAAAACATATTTCTGAATACACATTGCTGTGCCAGTATTTGAACAAAATGCCATTTTGGGTACTATTAGGCAATTTCATAAGACGTGTGTAGTTACAATAATATTTAATGCTCCTTGATATCTTAATTTTAATTAACTTGATTTAAATGGATAAGCAAATCAGGTAAGGGCTGTTTAGTGTGTTTACTGTTGTCATAGTTTATTCCCTAAACAAAGCGGGAACTGGAAGAGTTGGGATTTGCCGCTCATCATACGCCAGGAACAAAAATCACCTCCCCAGAATACAAAAGCACATTGAAGGACAGTCTGCAGAAGACAGGAATAGTTTCTGCTTCAAATGGCTTTCCAACAAAATCATTTATTTCCATTTTCTTTTCTTTTCTTTTAGTGGGAAAAAAAGAAGTAGCTTTTTCCACTTGGAAAACTCTGGTACTACCTATTTACATGTTGAGTAAAGAAAGAACATTTGCTAGCAAGGAACTCCAGAATAATAGCACGCAGCACGGTTGGTATGACATGATATTGAAAATGAAAGCACAGAATTGGAGGTAAAAATATATTGCATAGAACAAAGAACCATCTAATTTTCATTTTGCAGAAAACTTCCTAACACAATTGGCCCTTGTTTAGCCCGTAGTTTCTGACCACAAGTGGGTGACTAATACTTTGCAGCAAATGAGTGATTTCCTTTAATGACAGTATCCAAGCTTCAATAGGGAAATAGTTCAAGTTCATAAATAATTAGAATTGGATATATTCTACTGCAAATTGACATAAAGCAATAACACTGACTATTAATACAGCAACATTATATGCACATTATTAGTAAATGGACACCCAAGCAAGAATTAAAGGGAACCACTTAAACAAGCAAAACACATGCCAGGTGTGGTACCTGCTTATGAAACAAATTTATCTGTTTTTAAATGGAAGAATATAGCAAATGCTTCTATTTTCATAATCAGGCTTTTAGAACGTAATTGATCCTTAAAGGAGAAAAAGACTACGAGTAGGTTATCTCATGAACTTGAAACACAGTCAAGATGTTCACCCAGTTAAGTTGTAAGTAAAATTGGGAGTCAAAGGTCGTCCACAGGCTGGCCCAGAACCATCCCGGTACCACAACTTTCCAGACTTTTCTCTAGTCATTCTATGAAAACGGAATGGCATTCCTTTCTTGGAGAAAACATATACAGAGTCAGTAGGAGGCTAGCTTTCCCTCTATAGAGACTTCTAACCCTGAGTTAGTTAGACAGCAGACAGTTGCCAGGCCAAAGCACCAAAAGAGAGGCTATCTATCAGGAGACAAATTGTCTAGGACCAGAGGATCAAAGGTCAGAACCCACTGTGTAGTTCTTATACTACCTAGCCACTTAGGCTCCTCAAATGTTTCTGGACCAAAATGATGCTACTTATCTTCTCTTTTCCCAGCTATAAATTTATCCAGGACTATTATCAACTGTACCCAAACCTCATCTACTAATGTCAAGTCACAGCATTACCCCAAAAAATACATTTCCTTGGAGGTATCTGGTTTTATCATCACCACTTTAAAAACACTGTTGTAAGATTGATACGTTGTTTAGACCCATAGTGACAGGAGCCCCCTTTGTGACTCAATTCTGTCCTTCCTTCTTCCTTCCTTCCTTCCTTCCTTCCTTCCTTCCTTCCTTCCTTCCTTCCTTCCTTCCTCCCTTCTTCCCTCCCTCCTTCCCTCCCTCCCTCCATCCCTCCCCCCCTCTTTCTTTCTTCTTTTGTTTCTTTGGGACAGACTCTCACTATGTAGTTCTGGCTGTCTTGGAAATCACTCACTATGTAGACCAGGCTGGCCTCAAACCGAACACACAAGAGATCTTCCTGCCTCTGCATCCTGACTACTGGGACTGAGGCTTGGCTCACCAGGCCCAGACAGGTTTTCTTCTTTCAATTAGACACCTTCTCTGTATGTGCCACATTCCCACGTTTAATAGGTCCCATATAGGAGTCTTTATCTCCTTCATTAAGTGTCAACTGCATACACAGAACCTCCATCCATAGTCAGCCAGGCCGAAAACTAGAAAGCCAATGAAACTTTCCTCATTCTACCAAGTCCTCGAGGATTCACAATCTAAACATCTTCTGAGTTCTTCTTCCTTGTCTGTGTTTACCAGTTGACTATGCTACTGAAACCACCTCAAATCTCTCACCACCGGTTGTTTGTCTCTACAATAGATTCGACACTGTTCTTTCCAACACCAACACTTAGCCCCCTATCCAATCGCTAAGTGTGAAATTCCTCAGCAAACAGAAGAAACCCAGCCCTGTGAACCTTGCCATCCACCAACCCTCTTCCTCTCCTTTGACCTCACCATGGCCCATGACCTCTAGTGTGACCCAAACATTCTTGTTTCCAGAGATGTGTTAGGCTTCTGGGTCTCTCCGCACACATGCTAGGGTTGTTCTACCAGCCACCGCTAACTCTTCAATACCAGCATCCACAAGGCAGACACTGGCTAAACGGTGGTGTAGCCCTTAGCATAGCAGAGGCTCTATAAAGGCACTCTGTATAAAAGGCTCTCTAAGGGTGACTGAAATGAGTGATTTGTCACATAGAAGGGACACACTACTGACAGGTGCCTATCGATATACTTGAAATCAGCATGGTCTTTATTCTTGTGCCCATTCATGTGCAAATAATGCTGTCTCACATGGAAGGGCCCCTTGGTGTTTAAACAGCAAACAGAGGAGCCTGAGGTACCACCAAGGGTACCAGATGTCAACCTGGATGTCAACAGTGTTCTGACCTCAATCTACACTAAATATGCTATCACCAACAGCTACCTCTTTCATTCCATAATAGAACAGTCACGCCTACAAGCCTGGCTTTGCTGCAGCCACAGTGCTCTGCTCCATTGGCACTGTCTGTTGTCCGTAAGAAACATTTATCTGTGGTCTTGCATTTTCTAACACTGGAGAGTCTTCCATGAGTGCCATGTTTAAGATCTTAAGAGTCACTCCTGATGTTCCTCAAGTGGATGCCCGGCAAGTCTTTTAAGCACATTCCGTTTTGAAAAGGCTATCTATGAAATGGCATTGCAAATTTAATCAAATAAATGCTCATCACTAGAATTATTGTAATATAAATGCAGAGTTATCAAGTAGAAGGGGCTCAGTTGAAATATAATAACAGGTCACACAACATGGGCAGCTCTCCAAATCAGAGTGCCGCATTGCCAGGGAAACCAAGAAGAAGTATGATCAATAAGGGTCCTTCTGGTTTTAGTTTTGTAATAAAAAAAAACTGAGAAGTTCTACACTTAGTTCTTTTGTTCAATGTTTTATTTTAAATTTATCTATTTTGTGTGTATGAGTGTTTTGCCTGCATGTGTACAGGGAAGCCAGTTGATGGCATTAGATCCACTTTTAGGTATCTAAAAAGGAGAAACTTTAAATTACAGACTTGTTACGGTTTCTAAAATTTAAATGAAAGGGTTACGGGGAAGAATGGTTTCCCACAGAGTGTTACCATTTAAATAAAATGAGAAAAAGTATAAATAAATCTTAATGTACTTTGAGGATACATAAGAAAGAAATGTTTGCTCTATCTGCTTTTCAGGCAGCCAACAAGCAGTATATGAAGGGAATTCTTACCATATAACCCTTTGTGACATCAGCATTTTAAAATAAATGAACCTATTACATACAGACCTCTACACACATAAAAAAATAGGAGAGCATCATAAACCAAAGTGTAGTAATATAAGAAAATATTTTTCATTATCAAACACTGACACACATCAAATATCCATCAAATATCATATGCGTATATCTAGAAATATTTAAGTGGAAAAAGCAAAACTGGTAAAAATGTTAAATTTAAGTTTTGAATGTATGAAAATATATTACACAAATGTGACTTCTCATGGCATAACTCAAAGTGAAATAATTAAAAACAATAAAAACACTGTTACAGGCTACCCAACTATTTCATACAGAAGATGAAAGCCTGAAGACTCTCTCTCTTCTTACTAAAATAGACAAGTGACACAGCCTAGCCCAGATAGGGCTCCTTCTCCTGTAAATGGAAGAAAGAAAGGAACAGATGCAGGGAAGGAGAAGGGCTGGAGAGGCCTGGGCTAGCTCCCTGCTGAGACAAGGAGCAGGCACAGATGCTCAAGATCTAAATCACCAGCTCCAAGCCCATCCTAAAACTGACTTCATGGGGTGAAGACACGGGCCAGCTGAGTGGAGAGAGACTTCCTAACCCCAGCAGCTCCTCAGTCAGAGGACACAAGGATCCCTCCGGTCTGTCATAAGTGCTGTGGCAGACTGGCCCCAGGCAAACTGAAGAGCGCTTACTTTTTGCTGGCCTCGCAGACGTCTGTGATGTTGGAGAAGAGGTGGTGCCTCTCTGTTTTCGTCATTGTATCGCTCAGCTCTTTAGATTCTTTAAACATCCGAATCAAGATCTCCAGGCTGAGTAAGTAGGAGTGCTCAGAGGATATGACTTCAAAGATGGCCTGGCAACGTGAAAAAAATAAACACTTTCTTAACGATTGTTAACTGAAGAATTCCATACAGCGCTCACTGTTCTCTATAGGAATGACATGGGAAACACATCATCCTCAGAGAAGACATGTGTACCCAAACTGAAGACTGGTCACTGCCTCGCCATAGGAAAAGCTAAAGAGCCAGGATGACTTTCCATGGCATCCTGAGGTCATGCCTTTGCCACAGGGTACAATCTATGGAAGGAAGTAGGGCATGCCATAAAATCTCACTGTGACACTAATTAACCCTTGGGGTCACCTCCTCTAGCCCTGCTTTCAAAGCGCACTGCTTGAGAGACAATAAGAATTTATGATCACCATCTCACGAGAAGTCCCCTGCTCCCTTCTAGTATTTGTTCCTTCTCTCTGTGTTCTAACACGACTAATTGGCAGTTCACAGCAGCAAAAACCGTGCGGCATGACCGCACCTTCCCTTGGAAGGTTCTTAGCAGCCACAGGAATTCCTTTATATAACTCATACAATTGAAAGTAATTCCATCTGCTCAACAAGCCACCCACTCTACTCTCATCCGTGTCTCAAGAAGGAACAAAGCACCCTCGGCAGAGACCCTTGGTGACAAACACGGACGCTTCTGATAACTATGAATGATGTAATCCCAGGCCACAGCCACAGAGACACCAACACCCCGTGTAAAGAAATCATCTACCTCTTCCACAAAGTCGGACTTAGATTCTCTACGAACCAGAATGCTAGGAGCATTTCTCAGTGTGGGGCGGGGGCGATGTAAACATTCTTACAGGCCTGGGTACCTGATCTCCTTCAAGACCCTGCACAGAGGATGAAGGCTGGATGGGAGGACAGACACAGGCAGGTAGATTCCCAGCTGCTCATGGCTGGGCTGGGCTACATCTTGTATATCAAGTTAGCAGAGCTAACTTGTTCAGGACTAACAGTGTTCACTGCCTCTTTTATTTATTTCTTAAATATTTATTTATTTTTTAAATGTAAGGTTTTGGAGGCCTTCACCTTGAAGATTCTGGTCTGGCCTCAGCTAAGCTCCAACCAGTTACCTGACATACCTATTTAAAAAATAAAGAGTAAAACCAGTAAAAGTTAGGCTGCAACTGGTACAAGTAAGTCCATGCCATCAACACAGCTGTCCCTAAGAAATAGAAAACAAACTCAAGAAAACTCTCCATTACTGAGCAAAAAGAATAGGTAACAGGTGGCTGATGGATTTTGTGCCTTGGAATGACTTCCGATATTTTCACCAGCAAAGGCTTCTGCAATCACACCCAAAATGCAAAGACAGACAAAAGACACATTGGACTAGGCAGAAGAGATCACAGGCAAAGGGAAGGAAGGAAAAATTTAAGATAGCAATGGCTGACTACATCACTAAAGAGACATTCAGTACCAAAGAGCAATGAAGGGAATGCCCGAGGAAGAAAAAGGAGTTAGACCACGAGACTTAAGCTACCATGATATTTGTATGAGAAACCTCAATAAAGATTTTTAGAATTACAATAGAAATAGTCAAAATCCAATCTAAAAGATAGATTGTTTTAATAGACTTAAGACTATGGAGAAATTCTTGAATTTGTCAATGAAGAGAAAGAAATATCATTTATTCCATGAGGTACGATTAATAAAAACTCAGACAGATATTCGGGTTCAACCTGAAGACCAGAAAAGCAAAGCAGCCAGCCACTGACCCTGACTTCGACCTCAGTCAGAAATGGTGATTTTGCCTCCAGGACTCTCAGAATTGGACTGAGCCTGAGAGCTGTCTCCTCCCATTTTATAATAATCTCTAGGGCTGGGATTAAAGGCGTGCACCGCCTGGTCTCAATGGCAAACTAGTGTGGCTACTGGGATTAAAGGTGTGTGTCACCACTACCTGGTCTGTAAGATTGACCAGTGGGGCTGTTTTACTCTCTGATCTTCAGACAAGCTTTATTTATTAAAATACAAATGAAATATCACCACAATTCTATAATAAGCAGATTAACAAAAGCTCTAGCCTCTGTTAACCTTTAGTAAAACTGAGGTAGGCGCCGGGCAGTAGTGGTGCACACCTTTAATCCCAGCACTTGGGAGGCAGAGGCAGGCAGAACTCTGTGAGTTCGAGGCCAGCCTGGTCTACAAGAGCTATTTCCAGGCCAGGCTCCAAAGCTACAGAGAAACCCTGTCTCAAACAACAACAACAACAAAAACCTGGGATAGGCATTCAGAGAATGGAGTACCACATGGAGGCTTAAACAATGATCAGAAGGAATACGTAGCATCACAGACAAACCCCTAAATATGCTGAGTGCAAAAAGTGAACAGGCTAACATTTAACGCATAAAACAATCCTGTCTTGAAAAAAGAAAACACAAAACAAAGCAAAACACCAACAACAACAAGGAACCAAATTTTTAAACTGTATTGGTTTAAATTTCAAGTTATAAAGTCCTATTATCCGACTTTTCATTATGGAGTCTTCATTTTTTGGTTCACTTGCTAACGTACAGAACATTTGCGAAGGCAGTCCATAAGTCTTGTATCCTTTCCCCAGTTACCGCATGCAGTGTGCCCTACACCATCAGGGTATACTGTGTAGCGACTAACAAAGTACTAGATTCTGAGTTTGGCTTTTCCAAGTCCAGGATCAACCATCTGTAGTTCACCATATTTCTTCCAGGGGCTTCGTTGTTTAAATGCAAATGATGTTAAGACACTTAACACTACTTTCTCTGTTCTGGGGGCTGAGGCGTGTGACACTTTATTAAAGGTTTTTAAGCTTATGATGAACACCTGCTCTCTTCGTAGAAGGAAAGCAAACATGTTTCCAAACACGGACCAAGCACACAGAGTAGATGCAGAAGAAGGTATGTGTGTCGCCCCGCATCACTCAGAGCCGAGAACATACCTCTTGTCTCTTTCTTTCCTCCTGGCTCACTGCATGAGATAACCCATTTCTCTTCACCTAGAAGAGGAGGCAAAGGAGAGTTTATTGCACTGGCTTCAAATGAATGAAAAGAAATTATATCCAATGTGGAATTATAGAAGTTCAATGTAAACACACACACACACACAAGCGTGTGCTACAATGCCATCAGTTCAGGTCTTTGCTTTTGCCTCAAGTTGTGCCTATTTCCAGAATATCCAGTTACCTCCAAGTCATAAAGGAATCAAAAATCAAAGGAAATGATTGACGGCTCTGAGCGTTAATGGTCCAAGTTTTCACCCAGAACTCATTCCGTCACTTAACCACTGTCTGCATTCTTTACAGAGCTCCAGTCCAGAAACAGCTCCTCCCACAACTGTGCCCAGCACCAGAGGTCTCAGCAGTTTCAACCTGATGAGCAAAGATGTCAATGTGCGTGCTCTGTGAGAAGCAGCAGTGTCTCCAGTCCGCATGAACATGAGCAGTGTCCTGGCTATAACGCTGTTGTGCCATCGTTTGAGTGGCTGAAAGCCTCATCTCAACTTCCACCCTGTGTGACTGCTGTAGCTCCCATCAAAACTCAGTTTCTAAACCCAAGAACAAAGGAGGCCCACAAACTCCAAGAAGCAGGGTTCTGGTTTTCTGCTAGCATTCCTGACACTTCTGTTGGCACAGGAAAGATATTCCTGATTTTCAGTCCCGGACTCACTTAACAGAAGGTCGTCGTGAAGTGGAACAGGCATCCCTGAGCATGACGGACAGAGCTGTAAGAGAGGAGCCTGAGCTTCTTCGAGGGGGAGAAATCTACAGCAAGGAAGCGGGACTGTCTTTAGACCTTGGGTTGTCTTACTTTCCCCAAACAGTAAGGGCTGATTCTCTAGGCTCATTATGAAACTGACACCTAACATTTTTCATCATAAGCTTAAAAACCTAAAAGAACATGTCTGATATTTGTTACATCTTCAAAATTTCAAATGCACCCAAAGAAACAAGAAAATTGTAGTCATTTGCTATCCTCTATCTTCCATGTAAACAAATTTCCTCAGCAGCTGGACAGTTCACATTGTTCTCTTCTAAACACCACAGTCTCATGTCAATTTCCCACGAAAATTTCATAATGTAATCTAAAAATCGAAGTGCCCGGGTCCCCTTATTAACCATCGTTAGAGAACTTTGAAATCAGAGATATTTTTCAAGTTTAATTTTCTAAAATTCCCTATAGTCCCTAGCAATCCCTCTAGTGAGTCCCAAGTATAAAGAAATTCTCCTGAAAAGTGTAATCCCCACAGATGTCATGAACAACCTACAATCAAGGCCTCACAATTACTAACAATTGAGGGGAAGTTGTTTTTTTGTTTTTGTTTTTGTTTTTCAAGACAGTATCTCACTATGTAGCTCTGGCTGTCTTGGAACTTACTATGGAGACCAGGCTGGCCTCAAACTCACGAAAATCCATCTGCCTCTGCCTCCTGAGTGCTAAGATTAAAGGAGTGTACCACTATATCCGACAATGACTGACAATTTTAATTCATTAAACAGAAAAAGTAAAATATTTTTTTTGCGAAGATAACTCTCATTCAGAGGGAGATTCACGATGCCTTTAACAAAGAAGATTCCATTAAAACCAATATTTCGAACTTACTCTGTCATCGGGGTCCTAGTTTCACACCTCAGGACAAAAATGCCATGGAAAGATTTGAGATGGGTAAGAGAACCTCTGTATATAAAAAGGGTAAGAAAGTAACTCTGAAAGGGATGTGGGGATGAGGCTCTGTCATACGTACTATAAGAAAAATACTCAGGAGCTGAGGGTCTAGAAGATGACATCTTTAAAGCATTCCTGGCCATCATCACGAGCTTTTCAATGGTCGCAAGGGTGGGACACATACCATCATGAAGGCCAGGGGAGCATAATTGTCCCTCTACAGCACTGCTGTGGAAACTGCAGACATTCTGTTGTCCTCAGTTTGCTTTTGATAACATTTGAGCAGGAGAATAGAGAGTGATCCTAAATCAATAGCAAAAATCAATAATCATTCAAAACTTTTATTACATGCTGGGAACTGTGTTGAGCATTTAATGTATTTTCCCATTGGATTCTCATTAAAAAAAAAAATTCTGGGAAATGAATGGTGTTCACAGATGGTGGCAGCTGAGGCTTAAGATCCAAAAGAACACGGCTACCAGGAGGAAGGCCAAGACTGGGTCTACGTCCGTCCAACTGCAACCTTTGATGATTTATAGTAAGCCTCTGCTCTCTATGAAAGGCGCCCCGTTTTCAGGGCGGGGCTATCGTCACCAAGACTCCTTTACGTGCCAGCTCTGCAACACAGTTTCCATGTGTTTTTTGGACCATGCCCATGGTGGAACGTTCTTATCTTTACCCACCATCGTGACCTGAGGTCAACCTGCCGGCAAGAACTTATGGATAAAAAAAAAAGCTTCCGTGTGTGTTTTAATAAGGCAGGAGACCAGCCAGAAGAATGAAGCCCTTCAGAGCTCCATTTGGTGAGCCTGGGCAGGAACCTCACAGGATTTCCTGCCTGACAAAATCCTGGCGGACGGAGGTGCCGGAAGGCACAGGGCCCATCAATCCCTGCAGGTGAGGTCACCAGCAAGCCTTTCCCCCCACTGCTGGCTCCTCTCTCCCTCCAAGTGGACTTTAGATCTCAAATTCTGCTGGGGAGGAAAATTAAATACCCTGCTAAGAGACCCACAGAGATGGCAGCTGGTATTTCGGGGAGACGAAGAGTTACTCCATCCTCTCCAGGGGAGAGAACAGCCAACACAGTCACCCTCCTCAGGAGGAAAAGTAAGTATTTTGAAGAGGTTGAACGATCAGTGCAAAGAATTACCACTCCTCTGTAATATTAATGCAATGAACGAGAAAATATTCCTTTTGCCAAGTCATGCATTAAAAACCAGCAACGTCCCAGACAAACGGAGTGCCAAACAAAGGCTCCAGGAAGTGGTTCTTGAATTATGATTAAGGAAACTGAATCGGAGCACATCCGGGGAGGCTGAAAGTTCATTCTGGTGAGATATGACGAAGTCGCCCCTTGTACCACTCACTCACACCATGGACAGGATGCCAGAAGAATCCTTTTGTCTACCTGCGGGCACTTCCACATTCAACTCTAAATTTAGCAGCAGCTAAGGTGTCCGGCAGTCATCTGGAAGCGCAAGGTCGTGAGCAGGGCAGACAAGCTGAGAAAAAGGAGGGGTGTGGAGAGAAGACCAAGGAGAGAGTGATCTGTCTGCAGAGCCACCCGGAAAGAGTGGCAGAAGCCAGAGAAGACTGAAGGCGAGGAGAGCACAGAAGCATAGCGCACGAGGGATGGCAGAAAGAGAAGGAGGTGTAGCACAACGGAAAGGGAAAAAAAAAAAAAGAATGTATACAGAAGGTCCTTTTAAAGTAGATATTCAAAGTCAGAAACAGTGATCTTGTTGGTAAACTGATGCCAAAATGACCAGAAGGACCAGGGCCTTTTTTCTCTTTCTTTTTTAATTTTAGAACAATAAAAGAGGCAGTTTTAAATGATTCATACTTTCTGAAGTTTGCAAGCTTTTGCTCAGAGAAACTAAGGATCAAGTTTACTCCATGTCTGCATGTGTGTTCCTTGTTTTGATGTATGGAAAAGGAAAACGACATAGTAGCTACCGACACATATGAATCCCAATTTGCATCTGAAGTCAAAGGACCTAAAGTGTTCAGCATTCTTTTTATTCCTATTTTTTAATCGCTTTTTTTTTTCAACATGAGTATCACAGTGCCCACTTTATTGACTTTATTGGTACTACTGCTGGAGAATGTGGTTTAGCCCTGGGGTAGTTTCTTCTTTCTTGCTTCCATAAGCCAAACATTCACACTCCCTGGATGCTGAACAATTCCCAGTCCACTCCAGAGCCTCCTGGTAAGACTCACGCATGGCTTCCTCGTATACATCATATCTGAAGCCCCAGCTGGGTACAAATGGAAGCACACAGACGGCCAAAGTAACTGCATGTGAACTTTGTTGCTTAATTAGATTGACTTATCGTTAATAAATAGAATTTTCAAAGTGTCTTCATGAAACCTTAAGAACTAAAGTCAGTAGGTCTAATTTTTGCAATCGTAAATTATGTATTTGCTGTTGTAATCGGAAATTCTTCTCCTTTGGTCTTTGCGATCTATATATTTTGAATATCTGAATGATAAGTTAACAATTTGCTTAACTTAATAAAGAGCACTTACTTGGACATGGAACTCTCTAGTTCCCCCCTGAAACAGAGTTTACCAAATCTCTAAAAGGTAAATACCTCAAAGGAAACACCCAGATGTTAATTCCTGCCTATTTCCTCCATGAAGTCTGAAGTTGGGTCTTCCTCTAAATTCACATTCTGAAACCCTATTCCCCCAAGTCGATGATATCAGCTGGTAGAGTCTCCTAAAAGGTGATAAGATCATTCAGGTGGGGCCCTCATAACTGGGACTAGCGCCTTTAAAAACAGGCCAGAGGGAGACAGACCCCTTACCTCTGACACCCAGCAAAGGTGCCCCAAACAGGAACTGAGTCAGAAAGCAGCCCCTCATCAAATCTCAAATCTGCCTTGAACTGAACTTCTCAGCCTTCAGACCCATAAGGAATACACTTCTGTTTGTGCTATCTTGTCATAGCAGCCTGGACTACTGCACTCTGCAAGTCCAAGAGCCTCAGACAAATGTCACAGGGAAGGAAGATAGGCTTCTCCATCCGGTACACTTCTGCAGTACTTCTGCAGTCGGTACAGAACACTAAGAATCTTCACACTGCAGAGAGCTGTCCGGAAATCCATAGGCTTTATTATTTTATAACCCGGGACAGAATTATCAGTCACAATCTCTAAGAAAATCCCTGAACACTGAACCTGCCCGCGATCCTCTCTGTGCAGAGCTGAGACCAAGAGCACCAGTACTTAGCTCAGTAGACCAACATTTCCTGTAGTGCAAAGACATGTTCTTGCTCCCCTGTGATGTAAGGCTCTTTCTGGATAAGATGGATGCCTGTATTGCTTCTATT